ATCAATGGTTCGAACTCACCAGCTTCTCCATGGGAGAAAAGATGTAGTGGTCTGCTTCCATAATGATTGCAAACAAAACCACTGTCACTGAGGCGATTCTGACTCCTAGCCACCTTGTAGGGCAGGACCTAACTGTCCCATAGGCTGACCAACCTTTAGGGCAGGGCCTAACTGTCCCATAGCCTGACCAGCCTTGTAGGGCAGGACCTAATTGTCCCATAGGCTGACCAATCTTGTAGGGCAGGACCTAACTGTCCCATAGGCTGACCAACTTTGTAGGGCAGGGCCTAACTGTCCCATAGGCTGACCAAGGCGGTAAACCTTAATGGGAACTTATTGCTACATCTTTCTCCTGTGGAATGGCTGGTGGATTTGAACCACTGACCTTTTGATTAGCAGTGCTGTATGTAACCACTATATCACCAGAGCTTCTTCCATAAGATTACAGCCTTGGAAACCCTAGGCACTGAATCACAAGGTCTATTTGAACCACAAGGTCAGCAGTTCAAGCCCACCATCCGCTCTGTGGAACGGACTTGACAGTCTTCATATCAGTGGGTTTATAACCGTGTTGTAATCCTACTTGGAAATGGGGGTTTCTTGGTTATGTTAGTGTGGCCACAGCAGTGTGTAGCATCTGTCTTCCACCTAATCACTTGTGAGTGAGGTAAAGAGCAGCAGAGACAGTAGTGTAACCAGGATTCTGAAAACAGGCTTGTCCTGCCAAGGAGAAATGCCCTGGTATTTGCCAAAACCCTATTCTTTCTGAGTATTTATCTAACAGATTACAAATACAACAGAACACACAGGCCAACATTATCTGGTGAGGATGAAAGGAGATGAATTTATAAGCCTAGAAACTCCTAGGATTGCTAGCCTACTAGAAGCTGTTGTTAAGTGCCATTGTGTTGGGTTTAATTCATAGTGACCCTGTATAGGGTTTCTGATGAGTGGCTGGTGTGTCTGAACTGCTGACCTTACAGTTCAAACTGACCTGTGATCCAATGCTTTATTGTACAGTGCCTCACCAGGACTCCTAGAAGCTGAAATAGGTGAAAAAGACTTTTCCCCTGGTACTACGCCCTGCATTCTCACTTCTAGTCTCTCTGTGAGAAAATACTTCTGTTCTTTAAAGTTACCCACTGGTCGTATTTCTGTTACAGCAGCGTAAGATAATTGAGACATTGTCCTTTGAAAGAGTTGCATAGAAACACTGAGAAGTGACATATTCTTGAGCTGTAAACGAATACCAAGGCATAATACATGACATTGATTAATTTTCTATACTATTAATGATCTTCCTTATCTTCCCCCAACTCCGCTAGCCACGCCAGGACTCCCTGTAAGATTGCAATGGATTTGAATGGTTTTATATATCTTGATCTTTGTTATGGAGTGTACTTACTTAGGAAGTTAGATGCCATGGAGTCACTTCCAATTCATAGCAACCATATACACAACAGAATGAAGCACTGTTTAGTCACAGTTGTTGTTACATTTGAGCCCATTGCTGCTGCTTCACTTTACCAAGCATGATGTCCTTCTCCGGGGACTGGTCTCTCCTGATAACATCTCCAGAGGCACTAATCTGCTTTCTTCTTCTCTAGATTTCTGGACATTTCATATAACAAATGGACTCATGCAGTATGTGACCTCTTATGACTGGCTTCTTTACTTAGTGTAATACTTTCAAGGTTTATGTGCATTGGAGCATGCATTTCATTTCTTTTACTGCTGAATAATACTCTGTTCCAGTTTATCACATCTGTTTACCACTTATCAGTTTGATGGACATTTGGTTTGTTTCCACTTTGGGCTATTGTAAGGGTTTGTTGTTGTTGTTGTGTGCCGTGGAGTCGGTTCCAACTCATAGCGACCCTGTACAGGGTTTCCGAGGCTGTAAATTTTTACGGGAGCAGAAAGCCTCATCTTTCTCCCGCGGAACAGCTGGTAGTTTCGAACTGCTGACCTTGCGGTTTGCAGCCCGATTCGTAACCACTATGCTACCAGAGCTCAGTGTAATACATATGCAGAATTCAGGTTGGATATATATTTTCAGTTCTCTTGGGTTATGTTCTAGGAGCAGAATTGTTGGGTCACATGGTAACTCTTTAACCTTTTGAGGACCAGCAGTTGTTCTGTTTTACATTCCCGCTAGCAGTGGATGAGGGTTCTGATTTTACCACTAAGGTGTAAAAGGGGTATTTCATTGTGGCCTTCTTTTTTGTATTTTTCTGATAGCTAATAATGTTGAACATCTTTTCATGTGCCTATTGTTCATGTGTTTATCTTTGGAGAAGTGTCTATGCAGCTCCTTTGTCCTTTTAAAAACTGTATTAGTAAGTATTCTTTATACATTTTAGATGCAAAGTCTCTTTCTTATAGGTGCAAAATTTTTTTCTTTAATTCTTTTGATTATCCTTTCACTTCTTTGATGATAAAGCACAAAATTTTAAAATTGTGATGATGTTCAAATTACCTATGTGTTCTTTAACTGCACCTGTTTGTGTGGTTATACCTAAGAAATTGTTGACTTATCCAAGGTCATGAAGACGTATGCCTGTTTTATTCTACCTAAAAAGTTTTTTAATTAAGATTTTATTAAGCAGTGCCACTAAGAAAAATTTAATGGGAACAAAGCACCTAAAATCCTTCCAGTCTAGGAATTATATGTTTGTTTTTTTTTCAATATTGTCATTTCCTAATTCAATGTATGCATATTTTCATTATGACTTATTATTTATTAATACAACTGTGTTGTATTCTGGGGTTTTTTTTTTATGTTTATACAAGCTATTCATAGTATAAAGCAGTTTATTTCCCATTTGTTGTAATATAACTTCTTTATAGTTTTGTTTTTCTTAAAATGATAAAATTCCATTTAACACATGAAAGCATATAACATTTAGTTTTGTGTTTTTTTTTTTTTTTTT